TTCTTAAAAATTGCCATTACAGTTGCGATTCTATTTTGACCATCTTCAAAATGTAGTTGTCTTTATAACACAGATGAGGCTAGCACACAGCATATGTAAGTACAGGAAAGGAGAAAGTTCTGACCGAGGCTTGCTCAGCTGTTATTGGAGCACAGAAAAAAGGAAAATTAACTTGGTGAGTACTCTGGTATCAGAACGTGTAGAGGTAATGGACAAAACAACAAAAACAAGTCCCAAGTTGTAATTATCCTGTAGTATTGCATAATAGAGACATGTAAAAATATAACATTAAAGGTTTATATAAATGGTAAAACTGGTAAAATAACAAAAAAAATTGTCAGCTAAAGATAGAATCTAGCTCTAAACCCCTCTCAAAGAGTGATGGATAAGCAGCTCAGCCGGACACCTTCTGAGACATTTCTTCTTCTGTGTCTCCTAGCAGCAGAGTGAGTTCATCCTGTGTGGTTTGTTTAAGAGAGGCTGCCATGCTGTACAATAATGCCAGGGAATCATCCAGGGCCGGCCTCACTTTTCCACTGCTGTTCAGAAGACGTAGTCTCTAATATTGGATTTGTCTTGAGAGGATGTCACTGATGTGTATCCCCCACTGTGCTCTGTCCTTCCTCCCTGGCCTCAGTGGGGACTCTTCACAATGATCTATACACAGCAGTCTGTCTCTGTCTGTCTCACCTTTGATTCACTGTCCTCCTCTGCCTATAATTTGAATGGTACCATGGTAAAATTGTTTACACACTGATGTGCAGGCCTGTTCCTTTTGGCACCTGACTTTGATTTTGTTGGTGTATTCATGTACTCACTGTAGGCTTTTGGTTTTGTCAGGGAAACTTAAGTCTTTTTGTCTTGCATTCTTAATTTTTATGTCTTCAAAGTGTTCAGTACAGCTATAATTATATTGTGAGAGTTGATGCCATCTGCAGTTACTATGGTTACAGGTGTTATCATCTATTGTGAGATTAGCAAAAAAGGCACCATTACCTGTTAAAAGTGACCCTTCTCAGTAAATCCAGCTGTCATTCCCAAACTACGTAGTTGGTTAGTCTCTGTCATTCATTCATTATTGCATCTACCTGCTCTCCCCACTGCAGCGAATCAAAAGATAGATTCCCTCACCTGTTCACTTAAATATTTCTTACAGTCTGGGTTGTTGACCCCCCGTACAATAAGTAGGTACGGTGGTAAAACAGATTTGAAAGGGAAAGTAACAGAAGAGCAATGGTCAGCGGCTTGTTCCTTAACCTAAACAGTAAACACAAACTCCAAATGACTACAGTATAAATGGCATCACTCCAGCTAGACTGCACCACAGTAATCCTAATACTCCCGACACATGCATTAAATGTAATAAGCAGAGGGGGTCCCTGTTTCCTTGTGTGTGGGAGTGCACACAGATAATCTGCTTTTGGGAAAAGGTGCTGAATTTGACCAGTCTGTCTCCTGGAGGCTAAACGGTGTATTGCATGTTCTTGGAAGAAAACAACAATTTGTGGATTTCACAGTGGCTGAGAGGAATGATTTTTCATTTCGCTTTTGAAAAGATAAAATATTTCACCAAAAACAAACTTAATATGTTTTGGAAAATTTTTAATGTTTTCTACAATTTCCTGGAACATAACGAAATACAAAATGATGGATGGCATGATGAACTGAACTAACTGCTAATGGGGCTAGTTTCCTTTAGTTTTCATTTTGTATGTTGTTTTTTTTTTCTTTTTCTTTGTTTCTCCCCCTTTGTATAAATTGTAAATTACAAACTATATATTTTGGATTATTATTTTCTTTTAACATTTATTTCTCTTTGTTTATCTTGTTTTTGTTTGATCGTTATCCACTCAGATTATGTCCGTTTCTGTAATTTACCTTATTGTCTTCCTTATGGTAGGCATGGAGACCCAGCAGCCAATAAGGATAGTATTCACCCAGACCATGGTATAATGTTTTTTTTTAAGTTATTATTAAAAATAAGCACAGTTTTTTGTAAATGTAATGTTTATTTTTGACTGTTTTTTCAGCATTTCTATGGCATTGTGGATGCATTTAGTCCACAGTATTTGTTGGCAGAGCAAACAAGAGCAGAGCCAAAGTTAGAGGGCCATTCTTTAGACCTTGACCATTTACACCTCAGATTAGTGTGGAAGTTGAGCATTATTTTGATTTATCTTCAAAAGATGAAAGACACCCTGTAGAGAGCTGCTAGTGCAATGCAGCAGCTTTTTTATGAGTGGGTCCCCATTTTTTTGTTATCTTGTGCAAGTGCATGAGCGTGCACACGCATTTCCTCCAAAGGTGACACGACAGACAGTCCTGCCAAAGGTTTCACACTATTCCACTGACCTGTGCGTGTAATGTCCACAGCAAATGCAGCAAATGGATGTAGGTTAATCTATACAGGAGTAGCTGCACTGTGTGGAGCACCACCACCCCCTTCTGACATTGTAGCCATCATACTGACTGACGATAGCAATCACCCTTTGCTTTTCCTTTCAAGTTAGAGACATCTGGATCACGTTGAATTTAAATAAAGTCTGGCTTGTAAATAAAGGTCAAATCTAATCTGAGCACCTCTGCTATCTGTCAAGGGCACTGAGACATAGACTGACCCTTGCATGTTTCAGCTGCCACCTGCTTGGTGTCCTTGAAGAAACATCACATTGGTAACACAGCCATGGTCTAAACCCAGGAAAACGGAGAGTTGGCAGATTAAATCAGTTATCACCCATCCCAAGGCAAAATGTGGGATTATCACATTGTATGTCAGTTTGGTGATGTTGGATGTTTAGCCACATAGATGACACAACACACAATCTCACCAAGTGAGACAGTACAGTTATATTTACTTGAGCGTTGTGTCCTGATCTGCTCCGTTGTGTTGTGTATAACTCATTGACTGTGAAGTGACTCTGGATCATCCTCTGGTCATTTGCAGCAGAGGACATTTGCAGCCAGCCCGTTCTCTGAGCCCATCACGGTGAAGCTCAACAGTGGGATGACGCGACAAACTGAGGACCCAGAGATGCTGTGGGTGATGGGTCCAGTGCTGGCTGTCATTCTCATCATCATCATAGTCATTGCTATTCTACTCTTCAAGAGGTGAGTCTGACGGACAAAACAGCATACGTACATTATGATATAATTCCGTGTAGACACCCCGGATATGACAAGGGACTGTAGGACAATTATTAAAGTGGGGAGGGTTGAAGAGTCTGCCTAAAGATAGATTATGCAGTATTTGTTTCAACATTTCAACAGCTTATTAGTTGAGATTCAACAACTGTTTTGTAATTATTACAACACTGTGTTTAAGGTTTAGGCACAAAAAATATCTGTGTTATGATTCATGTGCATGAATGGTCATATATACTATACTATATACAATGGATAAATTAGTCAGCATCTACAGACAAAGCAAAACAGCTGAATGTAACAAATAAACTACCTGTAAGCGGACTATCTAAATAAAATGTTGCCAAGATTGATGTCAAGTCTGTAAATAAAAAAACTGCTATGTAAGTCTAATCCATATCCCAGCATTTATCAGCTCTAAAAACAGTTGCACCATCCCAGTCATTGTAAGTTAAATACCTGTTCAACAGTAGTGTTAGCATAAGAATTATCTTTTTTTGTCATCTGTTATTAAAATAGTTAGTTAAAGGAATAGTTTGAGTATACCTTGAAGGCAGTGCATGCTTATTGTGTTCCTCGTATCATCTAGTTGAGTGATCATTTTAGCCATTTAAGTCCAGGGAGAGACCTGGAGCGTTTTCTTCAGCGCAGCAGATGACAAGAACATTTTACAAGAGTCAGGCACCAAGAAATTTTCAGTGTGAAGTATTTCAGAGTAGAGACAGACATTCATCTCGGCTGAGCCGAAGGCAAAGGTCCTTCATGGCATATGGGAGGAAGGCCCTGTGAGTTGCCCCGCAGCCCTCCTCTTCCAGGCCAACAGTTGGCTTGTGTGTCCTGCGCTTGAGTCAAACATCTGGAGCTGCTCACTGGGCTGACGAGGGCTTCCATATGGCTACTACTCTGCTCTGCTCAAACAAAGTTTATGTATCTTTTTGTAGTCCATTCACTTTCTTTTTATCTTATTGTCTTAATCTCTTATTTTCATACAAGCCCGGACGGATGTTCAAATAAGCATCAGCTATCAACACTAAGATAATGTTCTCAGTCTGTCTGTATGTCAATCTATATTTACCAATCATTCTCTATCAAATAAACTATAAATAAATAAAGAATGCCGAATTAACTAAATCATGTTGCAGATATGTAAAAAGTCTGCATTCATACTTTGTTGAGTCTGTATTTTTAAAATGCTTGTTTTCTGAACAAGTTCGAATTGATCAGGGGTACGCTAACTTAGTTCATAGTAAAGTAAAACCAATACCTAGAATCAAGTAACAGACACATATTTTAATCACTTAACCACTCTCTTACTTTTCTCTGAGCAATGTCTTTTTATGTCCAGTCATAAATATGAAGTAGTGTCATAGAGCTCAGGGTGCACACAGACGGATACAAGTGGGGGTGGCACCTGCAAGAGAGAAGATAAATGCGCTTTTTTATCCAAAATGTTTTTCTGTGTGAGTGCCATTAGCTTCTTTAATTGGTTAGGCAACTAAACTACTTGTAAACCAGGTTGATTCCAGCTCACTGTGTTTAAAAAGATCTAAATCATTATAAATAGATAAATAACACCGTCTTTTTTCATTGGAACTGCACAACAATTTAATTGAAGGATTTGGTATATCAAACTGATAGACATGGCACTTTTATAAGCAAATTTCAGCTGGATCTGATCAATCTGCTAGGAGTAGAACATGAAAGTATAAAACATGATATTTTCTGTTGCCACGCTCTCACTATTACTGAATATTATCACATAGACGTGTTCAGGGAAGGACTCTTATTAAACATGTGAAG